TTTTATTGTGATGAATTTTTTGCGCTGATTTATGCGTATCTTCTTCTTTTATTGTGTCTATCTTTTTCACTCTTTCTTTACGTTTTTAAGCTCATTTGCATACAGATGCCTGAGCGCCATTTTGGTCTTTCCTTCTTCTTCATCATTTTCTTTGTACCCTTCTTGTTTCTTTTCTCACTCTTCTACCCCGTATTTTTCTTTTCTTTTTTCTTTTGTATTTTTATGATTCATAGTGGTAATGATAACAATCAGAATGATAATATAACTATTAATATTATTGTTGTTCTTATTATTATTGATTTTATTGTTATGATTATTATTATAATGATAATAATGATTAATTATTATTGTTATGATTATTCTCATCATCATCATCTTTACCATCAGCTTCATTATTATCATCATCAATAACATCACCATATATATATGTGTGTGTGTGTGTGTGTATTATGCATGCATGTATATATATATATATATCAACTACCTCATGCCAGGTGTTTTTAAATTGAATGAGTAAGAAAAATGATAAATGCATATGTTGAAACTAGCTTTTGATCGAGACATTCAAATCAATAAAGCAAAATCTGCGGTCGGACAACAACAATGATTTTCTTGGAAAGTTAATGTAAAAAACATGAGAAGTCAATATATCTTCAGAAATCTTATTGTTTTTTATGTGAATGATGATAGAAGATCGTTGGTGTCTATTCGACTGTCTCATTTTTCTCAGCATAAAGATTCCCATTTTCATAGTAAATCTTGATATCAAAAAATGTTTTTTATGTTTCCAATTAGCAGGGGAAATTATTTTTGACAGTATTGATAAAGATGATGATAATGATAAGGGTAATGGCTTATAGCAGCAGCTGCAGTCGTAGTAGCAATTATGATAATGATAATCGGAGTAATTTCAAATTTTTGCTATTACTAATCCTACTGTTGCTACTACTGCTGCTGCTGCTGCCACTACTACTGCTACTACTACATCTACTCCTACTACTCCTACTCCTACTCCTACTACTCCTACTACTCCTGCTCCTGCTCCTGCTCTCCTGCTCCTGCTCCTGCTCCTGCTCCTCCTACTACTACTACTACTACTACTACTACTACTACTACTACTACTACTACTTACTACTCCTGCTCCTCCTCCTCCTCCTCCTCTCTCCTCTCCTCCTCCTCCTCCTCCTCCTCCTCCTGCTCCTCCTCCTCCCCTGCTCCTCCTGCTCTTTCCCTCCTCCTCTCCTACTACTACTACTACTACTACTACTACCACCACTAATGGCAATGATGGTGATTCTAATAATGTAACAAACCTTAATATCCTATAAATATCCATTCTACATAGATAAACAGAAACACTGATGATAATGACACGATACAAAGACATGGTTGTTTTCCTCAAAGCGCCATCGAGAGGGAAGGGCTCGGCCCGGCCCGCCCCCTGACCTCGCATTCTCGCACACGCCTCTTGGCCCATGTTTTGATCATGTGGGTCAGCCAGGTCGCCGGTGGCCCTCGCGTGAGTCACCACGGTGTTATGGGCCGTGTGGGTGGGTGGAGGGGGGAGGGTATAGTGGGGGTCTTAGGGGTGGGTAGGGGACTCTAGGGGAGGAAAGATAGGGAAAGGGGTACAGGGGAAACGTGGGGACTAGTGGGTTAGCTAAAAGGAAAGGTAAAAGGGAGGTGTAGGGTAATGTTAGGAGCTATGCGAAGGTGAGGCAGAGGAGGAAGGGGAAAGTAGAGGGGAGGCTAGAAGGACAGGATGGCGAAATGGGAGTGGGGGTGGTGGGTGGAGTAGGGGTAGGGAGAAGGTAGGGGGCGTGCCGAAGACTGTGTACGCGCTGGGAGTGAAGGGAAGGATTTTAAAAAAGGTATGAATGAGAATGAATAAATTTCGCAAGATAGAAGATGATTCCAGGTTTACACTTTAGAATATAGCATTTAGAACTTATACACTTTGAGTGACAGTCCTGAGTTTTGCAAAACTATCATTCTCCTTCGTACCTTTCTTAATAATTAACAGTACGATGAAAGATTCCAGCTTTTGGCCAATATGCTATAGAGAAAATGAAACATTTCTTTCTGTCACGTTGAAGACACGGCTGTATAACGTTCACTCTGATTCTTTGATACACATTTATTTTCTAAATGGCTATCTTTGCTTCCTATATTGTGAATTAACATATGTGTAACGCCCTCTTTATCGATCACCTAACGCGTCATGTAAGATTTATTTGATGTCTCGTTATGTTTATCTTTGTGCCTCCCCCCCCCTTTTACCCACACACCCTTCGCTTATTCTCTGGGTTTGTGATTTTATTTCCCGATTCTTTCTTTTTTTGTCTCAATATTTTCAAATTTACTTCTTAATCTCTCTCCTCTCTCTTATTTCTATATATATAGCTTTGCTTTTTTTTTCCTTTCTTTTCGTTTTAGAAAAATTTTGAAAATGTCCTGGATATCATCTGCTGATCAGAAAAGACTGTTACATAAGAGGAAG